TAACCAATAATGATCTGTTATTTAGAGCTATGAAGTAGGTTAAACACTGAATGTCAAAACTGACTTTCCCGAGGCTAGGGGATAAAATGAACAGAAAACCACAGAAGGAAATGGATACACAAATGGCGGTTTGAGTTTACAACAACAGATCATAAAAGCCTTGTACCTAGACTGCAAAATAGTCGGTTTTTTTCTCAAAATCAGTAAAGAAATCGGTAAAGCGTGGCGTACGAGTCTTACGCGCGCGAAGCGCGCGTGCCTGACACGCCCGTAAGGCGTGTGAGGCGAGAGAAAAACTCTCCCCAGTCTCACTCTCCGTTTTCAGCCTCGTTCCAGACCTTTTGTTTGACTGCTTTCGCTTACTTGAATACGCAAAATACGGACCGTTTTGCAGTCTACCTTGTACCCAACCTTCAACACAGCCATTTCCCTTACACTTAAGAACACATAATCAGCATTTATTATGGGATTTAGGATAGGTTGAGACTGAATAGCCAAATTAACGTTCCTCAACAGTTAAAATATTTTAAATGACATGCATCCAACTCGCGTCTTGCTTCAATTCAATGACTGGGCTGGTACGTGCGCGAGAGAGGCGAAGCCGCGTGACGCGAGGACGATTTTCTTCTCTGACGTTTCTCTCAACGGACTAGCCGAGAGAAGTAATCGTCATCTAGATGAAATGATTCTTCAACATATCCTGTACAGGTTATGTCATTCAAATCAATGCTGTGCGCTTCGAAAAGCTAACAGATATCCTCGCGTGTTTTCAAAAAATACTTTCGTGTTTTTCGCTGGTCACAAAATTCCAGCGGGTTTCCGGTATTTGTCTTAAGTGACCTAAAGTAACTTTATTTCGTCACGTCACCAACCCTAAATGGCGTTAAATGTTCTCAGTAAATCAAAAATCTTACTCAGTAACCTTTTTATAAGCCTAATCTATTTCATGGTTGGAAACATGTTAGGCGAGTTTACTCGAGAAACAACTAAAGGTTTTCAGAAAATGTTGCATTGTTTCCTGTCAACTGTAATATGTTACTTAACACCTTGACGCTAATCTAGTTAGCTAGCCAATGAGAGACCTGGAATTTCAAAATCAATGCCAAATTCGGCTCTCATAGTTCAGTTTTTTACTTTAACCGCCTTGCGCCAAGTTGAATTCAGTACTCTTGGTTCATTGCTGCGAATAGAAACATTTTATATTTCGCCTGGATAAGGCCCCTCAGTTAAAAGTCAATGGGAGCTCGTTTCTTAGTCGCGGACAGCAATGGAGATCTGGCAAGTAAAAAGGTAATGTGAGTTCGAATTTATGCGAGTCCGCCAAGGCAACGTCTTCAGAATAGATCTCTCACTTGAATTTCATTTCTTCACTGCTTCTACAAAATTCTTAGGTAACGAATACCTTGCAAATCTTTTATTCAAAGGAGGATGATAAGAAGATAATGGCAGAATTTACTTCAGATGACCGCCTGAAATAGATGAACAAAATATCTGCCCCGTCGACTAAAAACAAAAGAACGCAGGCAAAATCTCGAAGACTTGCTTCACCGACCCTCATTGAAACAGCATGACCGGTATGTATTGGTTATTTTAAAACAGAACTCTAAATCATTTTTAAAATTATCTTCATGCAAATAAATAGACGCGTTTTGAGACAACCCCACGCACTTGCGTAGCCCTTTAAAATTTTCGAAATGTTCAGTACAATTGCATAGATTTTCCAGTCTTCGGATGACCATCTTAATTGCAATATTGTACCGCTGTTACAGAGGGCCTACACTTAATTCCATCCGCCAAACTGACGTTGACACATTAATGATTCGTACACAAAGTAGGGTTAGGGTTAGGGTTTGAGACGCGCGTTGCTCACGATGACCACCCACACGCGTGCGTGCGTGTTCCCCACATTAACTTAAAGCACAGGCGTATTGCTGAAAGACTGTAATTTTTCGTGCGTTAACCAGTGAACTTAAAAACGAAATATTTTCGTTTATTTCAGAAATATTACCAAATTTGAACGACTGAGGGAATAAACAACTTTGAATGAAGCTCGGAGAGTACCCATATTTTTATTACAAGCAAGACAAGTCCTGATCCGGCGGATGAGTTACCCTCAACGGGCCACTGCTTAGAATAGGATCTTTTTTTTGCTCTCTAGTAGAAAAATATGGCCTGTAGAACAATGAAGGGCACTGATAGTTTTTAGATCATATGCTCCGCTTAAATCAGTAGCCAAAGCAAGAAAGTTACATGTACAGTAGGTGAGGAATTGACTCTTCATTGGCAAGATCGTACAATTATTATATCATTGAATCTCACGAAATTCTTAATTCACTATGTATTTGACAAAGCATTTTTGGCAGAAAAGGCACTTACCTTAAGAGTTAAGTTTAATCACAGTACTGTATCACTATTGATCCTGGAGTTACTTGAATTTTTTCTGCTTAAGGATGTTTCTGCTTTACAATCATATGTACAAAGTCTTGTTTTGCAGTCTTGTGAGAGACATGCAGTATTCCAGTTTAAATTTGCTATAGTTTAGGAAGCAGAGCTGATTGTTTAATCATTTCTTGTCCTGCTTTAGATACTTGTATTAAGAAATATACGCATTTTTTACTTGCAATTTTGTATGATTATCATTTTTATGAAGTTAGTGGTCAACTATGTTGTTGTTGTTGTTGTTGTTTGTAGAGAACCGTTAACATAACCATTAAAAATGTTGCTGAAGACTGTTATTGTGAGGTTAATGTAATTCATTATTATCAGTTAAAACAACCGTTTTCTTCTAACCCATATGGAATGGTTACAGCTACCACCTCTTGACTATTTTAAATGGGTTATCACAGATTCATAACTAGTACCCAAAAAACTGGTTTACCATGACCACAAAAAATGGTCATTATAACTTATATGTATGGGTCGAAACACATTTATCTTTTTATTTATTATAACGACTAAAAATTTAAAGTTAGTTTAACCAAAAAGTAGAGGTTATGACAAACAATTATTAAACGTTGTGAGAAATGGCGTGGGCTGTGGTAGAAACAACCATTTTTAAGGGTTAATGTAACCCATAAAGAAAAGTTATTTCAACGGGAATAAAAAATGGTTAACCTAAACTATATTTTTTTGGTTACTGTAACCTAATAAAATACGGTTACCTGGAATTCAAACCTTAACCATTTTTTGCGGTCACTATAACTCGTCAGTTTTACAGTGTAACCTTGGACGGTTTATTGCACATGCATCGCTTGAAGCACACAGCTTCGTAATGAGGACATATCGTACATTTGATCGAGACTCTTGTTCTATTCCTTGGGGATTGGCCACATACTGCAGTGAACTGCGGCATTACATCGTTGACAAAGATAATTAAGGTGGATAACTGACATTGCCAGCCTTCTTGCAGACTACATACGTTGGGTGGGAAGGCTACAGTAAGAAAAATTCTCACACAATTACTCAAGTGGCCGATGCCATACGATGAATCTTTGTTTATAAGTAATCTTTCTTCACTGCTTCTTTTTGACGATGGAAATTACAACAACTGCTAGACACACCAAGCTCCTCTGGTCCCAACTCTTTCACTGTAAAGTTGTTCCAGCTTCTTGACTTTAAAAATGCTTTGTTGCAGTAGGATTCCGCTTCAGCAGATTCTGGAACTGATGTTTGGAATTCATCGTCAGGGTCTTGTACACGATCTGCTGAAGCCGATGTTCGGAATTCATCGTCAGGGTCTTGTACAGGATCTGCTGGAGCCAATGTTTGGAATTCATCGTCAGGGTCTTGTACAGGATCTGCTGGAGCTGATGTTTGGAATTCATCGTCAGGGTCTCGCACAGGATCTGAAGGAGCTGATGTTTGGAATTCATCGTCAGGGTCTTGCACAGGATCTGCTGGAGCCGATGTTTGGAATTCATCGTTAGGGTTTTGAACAGGTTCTGCTGGAGCCGACGTTTGGAATTCATCGTTAGGGTCTTGTACAGGATCTGCTGGAGCTGACGTTTGGAATTCATCGTTAGGGTTTTGTACAGGATCTGCTGGAGCCAATGTTTGGAATTCATCGTTAGGGTTTTGTACAGGATCTTCTGGAGCCAATGTTTGGAATTCATCGTTAGGGTCTCGTACAGGATCTACTGGAGCTGAAGTTTGGAATTCATCGTAGGGCTTTGTACAGGTTCTGCTGGAGCTAATGTTTGGAATTCGTCGTTAGGGTCTTGTACAGGCTCTGCTGGAGCTGATGTTTGGAATTTATCGTAGGGCTCTGTACAGGTTCTGCTGGAGCTAATGTTTGGAATTCATCGTTAGGGTCTTGTACAGGTTCTGCTGGAGCCAATGTTTGGAATTCATCGTTTGGGTCTTGTACAGGTTCTGCTGGAGCCAATGTTTGGAATTCATCGTTAGGGTCTTGTACAGGATCTGCTGGAGCTGACGTTTGGAATTCATCGTTAGGGTTTTGTACAGGTTCTGCTGGAGCCAATGTTTGGAATTCATCGTTAGGGTCTTGTACAGGTTCTCCTGGAGCTGACGTTTGGAATCATCGTTAGGGTCTTGTACAGGTTCTGCTGTAGCCGACGCTTGGAATTCATCGTTAGGGTCTTGTACAGGATCTGCTGGAGCTGACGTTTGGAATTTATCGTAGGCTTTTGTATAGGTTCTGCTGGAGCCGACGTTTGGAATTCATCGTTAGGGTCTTGTACAGGATCTGCTGGAGCTGACGTTTGGAATTCATCGTTAGGGTTTTGTACAGGATCTGCTGGAGCCAATGTTTGGAATTCATCGTTAGGGTTTTGTACAGGATCTTCTGGAGCCAATGTTTGGAATTCATCGTTAGGGTCTCGTACAGGATCTACTGGAGCTGAAGTTTGGAATTCATCGTAGGGCTTTGTACAGGTTCTGCTGGAGCTAATGTTTGGAATTCGTCGTTAGGGTCTTGTACAGGCTCTGCTGGAGCTGATGTTTGGAATTTATCGTAGGGCTCTGTACAGGTTCTGCTGGAGCTAATGTTTGGAATTCATCGTTAGGGTCTTGTACAGGTTCTGCTGGAGCCAATGTTTGGAATTCATCGTTAGGGTCTTGTACAGGTTCTGCTGGAGCCAATGTTTGGAATTCATCGTTAGGGTCTTGTACAGGATCTGCTGGAGCTGACGTTTGGAATTCATCGTTAGGGTTTTGTACAGGATCTGCTGGAGCCAATGTTTGGAATTCATCGTTAGGGTTTTGTACAGGATCTTCTGGAGCCAATGTTTGGAATTCATCGTTAGGGTCTCGTACAGGATCTACTGGAGCTGAAGTTTGGAATTCATCGTAGGGCTTTGTACAGGTTCTGCTGGAGCTAATGTTTGGAATTCGTCGTTAGGGTCTTGTACAGGCTCTGCTGGAGCTGATGTTTGGAATTTATCGTAGGGCTCTGTACAGGTTCTGCTGGAGCTAATGTTTGGAATTCATCGTTAGGGTCTTGTACAGGTTCTGCTGGAGCCAATGTTTGGAATTCATCGTTTGGGTCTTGTACAGGTTCTGCTGGAGCCAATGTTTGGAATTCATCGTTAGGGTCTTGTACAGGATCTGCTGGAGCTGACGTTTGGAATTCATCGTTAGGGTTTTGTACAGGATCTGCTGGAGCCAATGTTTGGAATTCATCGTTAGGGTTTTGTACAGGATCTTCTGGAGCCAATGTTTGGAATTCATCGTTAGGGTCTCGTACAGGATCTACTGGAGCTGAAGTTTGGAATTCATCGTAGGGCTTTGTACAGGTTCTGCTGGAGCTAATGTTTGGAATTCGTCGTTAGGGTCTTGTACAGGCTCTGCTGGAGCTGATGTTTGGAATTTATCGTAGGGCTCTGTACAGGTTCTGCTGGAGCTAATGTTTGGAATTCATCGTTAGGGTCTTGTACAGGTTCTGCTGGAGCCAATGTTTGGAATTCATCGTTTGGGTCTTGTACAGGTTCTGCTGGAGCCAATGTTTGGAATTCATCGTTAGGGTTTTGTACAGGATCTGCTGGAGCCAATGTTTGGAATTCATCGTTAGGGTGTTGTACAGGATTTGCTGGAGCCGATGTTTGCAATTCATCGTTAGGGTTTCGTAGAGGATTTTCTGGAGCCGATGTTTGGAATTTATTGTTAGGGTTTCGTAGAGGATCTGCTAGAGCCGATTTTTGCAATTCATCGTTAGCGTTTTGTACATGAACTGCTGGAGCAAATGTTTGGAATTCATCATCAGGGTCTTGTACAGGATCTGCTGGAGCCGACGTTTGGAATTCATCGGTAGGGTCTTGTACAGGATTTGCTGGAGCCGATGTTTGCAATTCATAGTTAGGGTTTCGTAGAGGATCTACTGGAGCCGATGTTTGGAATTCATTGTTAGGGTTTCGTAGAGGATATGCTGGAGCCGATTTTTGCAATTCATCGTTAGCGTTTTGTACAGGATCTGCTGGAGCAAATGTCTGGAATTCATCATCAGGGTCTTGTACAGGATCTGCTGGAGCCGACGTGTGGAATTCATCGTGATTTCCTTAAAGTTAAGCGGACTTTTTCCTAGCAGTGAATGAAAGCCCCAGATAAATTTTTTCATGATTGGAAAGAAGGCCTTTTGTACTTATTAGGAAAGTTAATTTCAAGTCATTTCCGCATAGAAAAACGTTTTCTTGAAAATCTGTTCCGAAAGGAGATTTTACGACAAAGAAATATTAGCGATTTTCAAAAAATTACCGGGAATTCAAAATAACCGTCACAATCCTGTTATTACGCTTAAATCATTTGTCAATACCTCCTACGTACATATATAAATTTAAAAATCCCTAAGTTCTTCCTGCGCTTTTGAGGAGCAAACTTCGTGTACCCTTACTTGTCTCTTTTAGTTTGGTCATTTTATGGCGGTGGCCACTCGTCGCAGTTTTGAGAATTTTCTGGAAGGAAAAAAATATTTCTGCAAAAAAATACACCACATTTTTTGACTCACTATAAGGTATCTCTGGACGAAATATGAGGAAGGTATTTTTCCATCATGTGCTGCGATTTGTCGATTTCACGCGGTCTCCAGAAAAATTCTCTCTTAAGAAGGCACAGAGAACTGGGGACGCCGGGGACTTTTTTAGTTCCTTCATCATGACAAAAAGAACTCTGATATCCTTTTTTTCTTGGTTGGTAAACATTTTGCTATACGTACAATGATCAAGCAAACGTGAGGTTAAGATGGCTGGACTCTGCCTAACGTCTTTTTTTGCGTTTTTATGGACCGCAACGAAGTCGAGGTCAGTCAAATCGCAAAAACAGCAAGGCCAGTCTCCAGCCATCTTGACCGAACAAACTTGGTAAGTAAAGAGTTTATATAATTATCATAATGCTAGAAAGCGAACTTTTTCTTGCAAGACCAACGAGGGAAATCTCGCTCTTGTTTTGTTGCCAATCAGATCGCAAGCTTAATTCGGGTATTCACACAAGACTGAGGGGATTCATCCTGTGTTGTAATAATTACGTCTACTCATCAATCGTTATGTGGCATAAGCATCAATTGTTTTTACCCTCGGTAAGAAAGATTTGCCGATAACCCTATGAAAGGAATGTTAACCCGGCGTCTAATAACAATAATAATAATAATAACTTTATTTCTGTAGCGCTCTTCTCCTATGTTCTAGGCGCTTTACAGTCATGTAAACAACATTATTGATAAATATTTACAAATTTACAACCATATCCTAATTATATTTACAATGGGTAAAAAAAAAGAAAAAATTAAAACTAAAGCAACTATTAAACTATTTTATTCATAATGATAAAAAAAGGGAAAAATTAAAACTAACGCAATATAGACAAATCTATATATAGAAACAATGATCTGTTATTACAAAATTTAGTAAACAAGTACGTCTTAAGTGATCTTTTAAAACTCGGGTCGTGTTGGACTTCCGAATTTCATAGGGTATTAAGTTCCATTCTCTGGGTGCATGAACTGCGAATGCTCTAACTCCGTAGGTCTTGGTATACGATGTAGGTTGCATTAAAAGTTCATTACTAACAGACCTCAATGATCTAGTATGAGAACGATAATGTAGTTTCTGAGCTAAATAGCTAGGCAATGTCCCATTCAGTGATTTATATACGAGGAGCAGAATCTTGAAAATAATACGATATTGAATCGGTAGCCAGTGAAGCTCGCACAAAACAGGAGTGATATGCTGAAAGTTACTCACTTGCAACACAACTCTAGCCGCCGTGTTTTGTACATACCGCAATCTTTGTAACTGATACTTAGGTAGGCGGTATAGTAATGCATTACAATAATCTAGTTTCGATATGACAAATGCATGAACAGCAACTTCTGCTGATTCTTTAGTGAAATACTTCCTAATTCTAGATAGGTTCCTGAGATGATAGAATGATGATCTACAGATAAAACTGGAGGAAACTGGGGAGAGCCCGCCCCGCCAACTTTTCGCGTGCCTTTTTCTTTCGCGTCTTCCCCACTATCTGAGAGCCTGGAACAGGCTAATCTTTTGAGTGATCGCAAGGGGGAACCCGAAGCAGCAGACGGGCAGTTAGATAAAACTAAGCGCGCCGAATAAATTTTAGTTTAAATTACGGAATACGAAATATCTTTACCTTTCTTTGCGTATTGAAATATGTGCCAATTATGCTCTGCTTGCTTATAGCAGTCTACTACGGTCTATCCTAGCAAATACACAATAGGGTTTTCCGATTTAGCGGAAGCTCGAGCCATTTTTCCCCGGGGGGGCTACTTGGGTCAATTTTTGCTGGATATGTGCCGCTGGCCTCTTAGAGCCCCTACCCCATTATAGTCTATTCTGTGGCCAATTATAGACCCCATCTCAGTCGCTTTGGGGCAAGAATGTAATTTTTGCTTTCCCAACTTAGTCACTTTCTATTTATGTATCTACCTTATATTGAATGAAAAACACCAACAGTACAAACATTCTGGTACGTTTGCTAACTGCTAATATGAAAGACTGTCTTACCCCAAAAATCAGAAAATGTGCGACCCCATTCTAGTAACTCTATTGAAAATGCGACCCCATTATAGTCAATCCAGTCGTGAAAATACGACCCCATCCAACGGGACTTCCCAATTAGCCTCTCATAAGGGACTACCCTCCCCGGGCGTTTTTCCGAGATGTGAAATTGATTCAATTATACTGTAAAAGTTCATCTCGATTTTTTTGTTATAGGCAAATCTTTGCATGATGTCATTGTTTATGCAAAATATCTGGCTCGACGTAAAAGGATAAATGAGCACAAACATGCTTAATTAACCTGCGATCAGGCGGTCCTTATATTTTCCCATTTTCTTTGGGAGGCCTGATCGCAGGTTATTTCAGTATTTGCTACGTCAAACGTGAATAGGAATCGTTTTCATTGTCTCATCGAGTACCATTTAAATACGATAATTTATAAAAAGAGAACAAGGAACAACGTTGTACATCTCGTCTCCTACAAATTGGGAAAGACGGCGGGAAGTCTCCAGGCATCGTAGCTCGCAATTTCGTCTAATTGTGGATATCTATTCGACTCTGTGCATTTTGTGGGTTAGGGTGAGGGCTGAAAACAATGGCAAAAGCTCAATAAATTTATACAAACAGCAGAATGTGCAATCATAGCTATTGGTGCAATCCAACTAACCCTCACGCTGAAGCCCTATAAATTCGCGAATAATCGACGAATCCGCTCCAAATTGCCATCGGCTAATCTGCAGGTAACGTGTTCTCCGGCTTCTTGCTCGCTGGCTCCACAAAACCCATCGCAAGTGCAACGTCTTGCTTGAGCAATGTGAGAAGGTCAACTATAAGTTTTTCCTGGTATTCAGCTGCTTTCGTGCAGCATTTCCTCCCAGCTTTGGACACTCATTTCCCTTTTCTTCAGTGCAGAGACTGCTCTTGATGCATTTTTGTTTTCATGACTGAGAGAATGGAGTTTGACTTCAGTCTTCGTTGCATAGTCATGCCGAAATCCCGTTTCCCCTATCCTTGAGGCGCCTGCAGTGTTTTTCAGTTTTGCGTCTGAGCGCTTGTTAAATAGATCAACCAGATAATGCTCTTGCTTGTGGCAGTTGTCACAGGTCAATGGATGTTTGGAGTTTCCACTTGGTTTTCCAGTACATGGTGGATCAAGACTTTTTATGGTGCCAGCTATCTTTTGTTTTATTCCATGCGTCATGGATGATTTCTCTGTTAAACAGTGAATACACTGCCCTGCCTGGCCTTGTTTCAGAAAGTCTTTGTGTTTTTCCGGGGTGCTTTGCTTTCCACCCACTACCACAGGGACCGCGGAGGGGGAGGGGCTGGTAGGGCCGCAGCCCCACCACTTTTTTACGCCCCCACCCCCACTTTTTGCCCTAAAGGACAAATAATTAAATTAAAAAAAAAAAAGACTTGAAACAAGTTTTTTCCGTCCATATTCCGCTATATTCTCTGTATTTTCTTTAATTTCAAAGGCCAGGCATTTTGTGGGATTCCTGTGCTTTAATTTTCGCAGTAATTGTGCCCTTAGGCCGACTTGCCCCTTGATTAAACACCATACCTTGGCCACCCCTTCGCTTCGTTCGACAGCGTGTTTTGTACTTCCAGCTCCTGCAGAGTTTTTTTATCAGTTTTATCAGACGAAATGAAGAGAATTACTAGC